CCCACAATTCATCGGTGCCGCACTGGCGGGTATATGTCAAAGAAGATAACGTTGAATAATATGAAGATATTGTTAACGTTAAGCAAACAGTAGTCATTGTTTTCTGCCGATGTTGACATCTATCCGATATCGCTTACTAGGTAACGATTCAGCACTTAATTCAATGTTACTTGTCGATTCATATTTTATCAACTGCATTCTTTATAACTGATGAACAATATASATTATTCAGATATGTCTGCAGCCGTTGCAGTCTAGAAGTTCAAAAATGAAAATTTAGTAAAATAACTTTATTATTAGCAGAACTAGATAAATCAAAATATTTCTGGTAGTTAAGTACCTACCTACMTAACTAGGTATATTGTGTAATGTGTATGTCAAAAATGTAACGAAGAATCAGTCAAATATGTAATATCCGTCAATTAATATTCATCATAATCAATTTCTTATTGATAAATTCTGAATTTTTTACATAAGTAGGTTAGTAGGTACAATGAACAATGAATATTATTTAATATCATACTGTAAGGTTGTTGTATGGAAATTGTTTTTTATCAACTGACACGTGTGTGGTAATTACAATACCTATTACATTACAAATATTTGTCATTTGTATGTCTATATCAATAGGCAGGTAGGTGCATAAAATTTAAAAAAAAAATTAAAATACAGGTACATATTTTTTTTCGTTGGATTGTATTACTATTATATACTATACTACAGATAGGTCAATTTATAGTGACAACACTAAACCATCAAAATAACATTTTAAGTCGTAAATATGAAGTACAAGATACCAATATTTATCCAACCTTAAAATGAAAATAATTATTCTAWCTAGATTCTGGACATTTGTCTTAGATTTATGCCAATAATGGTTCATTTCAAAACGTATTAATTATTAGAGTACCTATAAGTATTCGTGAATAACTCAACTCACGGCCTTGCAAAAAATATATATTATAAAAACATAATAACGTAATGATTGAATATAACGATGTTTTAGGAATGAAAAATCTTCCTCGAATGCCGAATCGTCCAATGATTTTGATCGGCGGATGAGTAAGCCCGACAACAAATACACCGTATAATAATGTATTACCTATCCACTAAAACAAATATTTGAAATCTATAGAACCTTTATATTTATAAACGTACCGCGGTACTTTTTGACTGGAAACGTACCTACCTATTCAATTTCTTTGTAAACAGGAAACGATGTGATAAAGGATTAATATGATGTATCTACATAATTTAACTTTTTGATGTTTGTATTTAAACATGTTTCATTTAGTCGTTAATAATTATATTAAWTACCTATACATCCTATTATATTATCCACCACTTTAATTTATATAAAACCTACAAACTATAATATCAAACTGTTGTGTGAAAATAAATAACAAATAACTGTATATTTATATAGATCAGATATTTTATTTGGCAAATCAATAATTGATTGTTGGTTCTACTGTTCTACAGTTATCGGAACGATTGGTCTCAGCTGCAGGTTCATGCAAAAGGCCAAATGTTATTATTATTATTGTACATTCATGACCCATGGGCCATGACTACCTATATCAAAAATCAGACATAAGTTTTTCAGACATAACAATTTATTTTTATGATAAAAAATGAAATCATACCGTTCATATACCACTTTCACTTCGTCGTTGAACTAAAGTATAACCTAAGCCTAACAAAAATGTTAAAACCAATTTTCAACATATCTGTAGNATATATGTTGTTAAAGGCCCGTATCACTCTAACTGTCCCCGTGACTGATCAATATTTATTTTAAATACGGTTTTTTCAAACTGTAATGTATAAGAAATGTATACTGTCAAGACTTGAATTGAAATCTTCATAAATTCTCGTCGAACATTTTGCATTTAAATAAATTGATGTGTTACAGAAATATGTATGGGACTTTTGGGACATTATACACTGTATCTATTTTATGTATGGTGAATACATATTATTGAAATGCTGATGCTGATCAGAAAAACATTATGCAATTTGGATTACTTGAATATTATATTTATCTAGGGATCCGCTTCGGGAAGGAGCTTCAGATGAAGAACTATTGGACATCATATCGAATGCAGTGAAAGATAAAAAGAGGAAACATGCTGGTAATATTATAGTTTTGAATTCGTAGTTTGAGTCGTAAGAAAATCTCCGGATACATTAACGAGCAGCGAGCTGATTTTAAAATGTATTTAATCACATTTAGGCACCGGGTAGTCATCACAAATTCAATAATGCTTATATATAATGATTAATGACTATATACTAACATGAAACCACAGCTATGTGTTTTATATCAGATTAACRTACCTAATTAAAAAAAAGGCAATATTGCAATGAATATTTATACCAMTTTGCATGTTTTGTAAATTGTTCTGAGACTTAATTTATACGMACATTTCAAAAACATCTGAACCGCAATTTAAGTAGTATAGGTTGTAGCTTGTAGGTACTTATACATGAATATGACTTTTTCGTGAGAACGCAGTTTACCTACTCCATAATTTTTAATAATGATGAATCCTAAATTATATTATTATCCATCATTGTTTGTTGATTAATCACGTGCAATTTTGTAAAGACAAATTATTTTGTATACAATTTTTTTTTCATAGTACCTATAATTTACCCAGTGACGTGAATTGTATAAAGTATACATGTCAGTTTCGAAGTTACTGAAGAATGGGGGGTACTTATGTAAATTGTGTGGAAAATAAACCAAAAAAAGCCACGTCCAAAAATCAATAAAATATAGGTTATAATTGCTGGAGTAGGCAGGTACTTTCATAAATGATAGTTTATAATGATTAAAAAATTAATTAACTTAAGTAGGTACACAATCGCATCAGCTTGGCGAATGATATTCATGAAATCTTCACTAAATCCTTTTACGTTTTTTATTCGTTTGTAATCTCGTTTCGTGCATTCAAAACACATTGATATGTACTTGCAAATAATTAAACAAACAAAAAATTATTGTGTTTTGGATTTAATCAARCTTTTTTTTATTAGCGGGAACTCACAGCAACATAGGCCATTGGGTGTGGGGTGGCATGATAGGGGTTATTTTTGTGTATTAGTACCCACGTAGGTTTTGAGTTGGTAGGTTGTAACACGTATCTGTGTATGTGTGGCAAGGATGTGTTGCTGAAAATCCCTGGTGGTCACCCATCGGGGAACTAGCAACTGCGGCTGGTACGTACGCTCAGTGCGTTTCCACGCCTCACCAAGCCACTAATCAAGCTTTTATTAGTAATGTACCTAACGCGTTCTATACCTTATCTATTGCCAATAGAAATAAATTAGTAAAATAGTAGTTAAATCATAGGTATGTCTTACTMTAGGTAGATACCCTTATTAAAAATATTGATTTACCTATTTGTTTTTTGTTAAAATTATGCGCTTTTTCATAAAAATGARTTCATCAATTAATATCAATTATAGTTATACTAATAAAGTAATAACCAAACAAAAACCATTAGCATTATTATAAAAGTGCGATGTTCTTAAAATTCTGAATAGAATTTTACTGTAATATACACAATACACATTTATATAATATAAAAATGAAAGATTATGATACCTAGTTAAACCGTAACATCTACGTAATACAAAAGAGGTATAGAGGACAATAAATGCTTTGTTATTATATTAAATAAATTATTAGTTTTGAAATTTGCTTTTTTATCATTTCCCAACTATATTGGGATTTTCAGCATATTATAAAACCTATTCTAAAAAAAAAAAAATGTAGGTATAGGGCCCCATAGAATTTTGCACAGGCTCCCACAATTCATCGGTGCCGCACTGGCGGGTATATGTCAAAGAAGATAACGTTGAATAATATGAAGATATTGTTAACGTTAAGCAAAC